CCAACCCCGCGACCCTCCCCGCGACCCGCCCCGCGGCATCCCGAGGTGCTGCTGTCGGCCCACATCGATGACATCGGCCAGGAGGTCACGGCCGACTCGGAAGCTGAAGTCGTGCAGCTTCTCGGGGACAGTGCCCGAGACCTCAAGGCGGAGATGGAGCAGGACTTGGACATGGTGCTGGCCGGCAGCAAGGGCACGTTCCTGGGCAGCACCGTGGCGTTAACGGAGCGGGCGCAGGAGGCCTTGCGCAGCCTCGGGCTGCCCGAGCGCGCGGGACCGAGGCGCGCCCGGCGAAGCGGAGCGGCCGCCATGCGGCACTTGGGGGTGGACTTCCGCGCAGGAAGGCGCGCCCGACCGCGAGGCGCCCGCGCTGGCAAATCGGCCGGGGTCGTGCACCGCGCGGGCCCTGTCCGCAAGACACGAGTGCGGCTGGGCAAGGCGCGCCTGCGCAAGGCGCTGCGGGCCGTGGCCCAGGTGGCGGGGTGCAGGAGGATCTGGCACACCGCCATCCTCCCCTCGGCCCGCTGGGGCGGCGAGGTCACGGGCTTCGCGGACTCCGAGGTCCAGGAGCTCAGGTCTCGGGCCAAGCGGCACTACGGCCACCCCCACATTTCCAGCGACATTTTCGGCGCGCTGCAGCCGAAGCTGGACCCGTTGGCAGGCACGGTCTCCATGGGGGTGGTGCGCTACGCGGAGGAGTGGTGGCGGACCACCGATCAGCGCCAGGCCAACGGCCGAGTGCTATCGGCCAAGGACCTGCGGAGCGCCTTCGACGTGGCCTCGCAGGACCTGGACAAGGACTTGCCCGAAGCGGGGCCTATTGGGGCGATGCTTCGGTCGCTGAAGTGGGCGGGCTGGGAGGCTAAGCATGCCACTTCTTTCATCTCGCCCACGCTAAGTGAGCTCTGCGTGCTCAGCATCGGGCCCAAGGAGATTGGCATGTACTTCGAGCTGGACGTGCTGGCGACCACCACTGCTCGAGCCGACGTGGCCGCCAGGTCGCGGCACGCCCTGGCGGATGACCACCCTGGCATCTGGTGGGAAGGCCTGCGCGCGGTCGTCGAGAACAAGTACGTGACGGCCCTCACGCGGCACGTGGTGACCTCCTTGGCAGGCGGGACCTACATGACGAGGCAGGTGGCCCACCAGTGGGGCTACCTGATTGCGCCGGCGTGCCCGCGCTGCGGGGTGACAGATACGCCCGCCCATCGTGCCCTGGGCTGCGTCTGCTTCGAGGCCGGCCGCTTGGGGCAGGGGGAGAATTGGACCGAGGCTGTGAAAGGGTGCGAGGCGTGCCACGATCCTCTCCTCATGTCTCACCTCCTCCCCTCGCTGCCTGATGCTGCTGTCGCCCTCCCGCCCCCTGCCACGATCGTCAGGGCCTTTGTAGGCGAGGAGGAGGTTGGTTTGAGCAGCTTTAAGTTTGTCCCAGGGGAGCCCGTGGCGGGGGATGGATCGGCGTCGACCTCGATTCTCGCTTCGCTTCGGAGGGGGGGGTTCGGTGTGGTGCAAAGGGACCCCGCCACGGGCTGCCTCCGGCGCCTGTTAGGGACCGTGCCCCCGCGCATGGCCCAGTCCGCTGTTGCTGCCGAGCACCTCGCATTCGACCAGCGACGGATCGTGCCCCTATATAGGTGATTGCAATGCCGTCCTCTCGGTTGCTCGCTCCGGGGCCGAGTTTGGGGCCACTCCTCGGGGGCGTTTCGGGGGTCTCTGGAGGGGGCTCTCTCGCCAGGACGGGGCCTACAGTGCGCTCATTAAGCAAAAAGCCCACGTCGAGGTCCCAACCTGCCCTGTTTCGGAGACAGATTGGCGTGCCTGGCTTAATGACCAGGCCGACCAGGCCGCCAAACTAGCCTGTAAGCTACACCCCATGTCGGGCCAGGCTACGGCCAGCCTGGAAGACCAGCTTCTCAGGGTAAAGAAGTTTATGTATGCCGCCTCCCGTGTGCTCGAGTCGGGACCAGCCCCTCGGGATGAATGGAAGGACCTCAGGCGGCCGCACAGTGGCCGCACGCCAGCCTGTCTGATCGCTCACGAGTTCGTCCAGGTCGGGCCGTCCAGGTGGCAGTGCAAGCGATGTTTGCGGTCGAAGGTGACTCCAGACAGTGCCCTGGACCGTAAGGACTGTAGGCAAAGCGACATCCCTGAGAGTTTTAAGCGGGTGACAGAGTTTGCCCACACCCACGATACTGAATGGTGTGAGCTCACCCCTCGGCCCGAGGCCGGGGTCGGTGACACCCTTTTGTTCTGCAAGAAATGCTGCCAGTATGCCACCTCGAAGCCGCCGGGGCTGGGTAAAGCCTGCCCCAGCTTCGGTGTGGTCGGCTGGCAGCGTAATGAAGCTGCCCAGCACAAGATGCGCCGCTTCCTGCAGGGCAAGCACCCCAGGTGCGGCCAGAGCGAGATGATTATCGCGCACTGGCCCCTCTTAGCTCAGGTCTACGGGGCATGTGCCCCCGAGCCATAGCCATTGGCTCGCCTGTCTGGCCCCTGTCTC